CCACATTTTTTTTCCAAATCGACCGGTGAACTTTCCACTAAGCGCTTTGCGGCAAAATCACCGAAAAACTTTTGTCAGTTAAATTTGTTAATACCTAGGGAACTTGCAGACAAACGTTTCGGGGGTTGCTTTGAAGTTTTTTCCAATCTTCGCCAGAGACAATAGTATCAAAATACAAGCTTAGTTTGAAAAATCAGTACTTTTTTTGAGGTAAATCACTGATAAAGTGATTAATTAATATAAAACTATAGTACTTTTTTATCAGCTTATGTAGTAGTTTCAAATTTGTATTTATTTTTGCAAACAGCTCTACTTTGGGTTCAAAGTTTCAACGCAGCTTGAACATGCTTTAAATTTTGCACGATTTTGGCGAGTGAGACAAAAAGTTTGTGTTTTAAGAAAATATGAGCACAAACAATGAGTATCTCAACCAAATAATGAATAGCCTGTAATATTATCGCTTGTGCCTGGTCGGAAAAATGAGTGCAAAGAGTAGCCTGATAAAAAAAATTATTTCTACAGCTCCACACAATTTTTCCAAATTTCCAATTCCAATTGCAAACTGGAAATCTACTAACCAAAAACTGTTGATTTGGACCGATTTGGAACTCCATGTTCAAACTTACAATGTTCGCCGAGAACCGTGCACAAATTAAGACCCAATTCAAAGCAAAATGTTGATCTTCAATCAACTGATTCGCTAATTTATATTTCTACAGGCGGTCGTCTAGATCAAAGACTAAACTGAGACGATTACGTAGACAAGGAATAAGGGAATTGGGTTTTTGCTAGCGTGCAGGCTTTTGTCATTTAAATTAAGGCAAGCTTAGCCCAAACCAAAGACTTAACGGACGTGAACCGGTAGTTATATATTCAGCTTGTCTAAGATAAGCACTATTCGGAAAGTGCGCTGTTACAGCGAGCCAAGAAGGACAGAGGAAATTAATTGTCGGTCGCGTCAAGATAACGACACTCTTGATGGCACTCTCCAAAAGACTGAAAACCTAAGAAACTGAGCGTGTACAAGATTCCCGTAAATTGTAAGTGATCTCTGAATCAACTGTATAGAGCTAAATTACTAAAAGTGACGATGGCAACTTTATGACAATTTACGGATATTTATTGCTAATTTTGTTGTGTCGCTTTCGATTTCTCTTAGGAAAGCACATTTTTTTTAACTCATACATATAAAAGTGAATACTTCCATATTAACGTTTCTGCCTTCAAGCTTAAATTTATGTTCGCTCCCGTCAGATTTAGTCCAGTAATTTTAGTTGGTCTTAAACATCCGAAACATTTGGAGATAGAAAAACATAAAGACAATACGGAAGAAATTTTCCCCAAAGAAATCATGGTATCTCGAGAGAACGTAATTTTCTTTCCTAAACCCATTTAGCATCGAATGAATCGATTTACTGGTTTCATCACGAGTATTTTTCTAGAAACTCCTATTTAAGGATAACTAAGTCATTTGGTATTGGCAGACTTTTCTATGCAACTTATCACAAAAATGCTTTCATGAATTTTGATCTGAGGATTGAATAAGAGTTTTTGCCTACCTAGAAGTTTTATCCAAGAGTTTTTATCATTTTACTTCACCCTTCACTTCTCCAAAGAGTTTTAATTTCTTCTTCATACTCATATCTCCATGATGTCGTTTTCGGATTTTCTGGCAAAGCACTACATTTCTTGATAACTACTAAAGGCAAACGTTTTTTAAAAAAACTTTTTAAATTGTCATAGATTGAACTGTTTACAAATCAAACCAAAGAAACAACATCATTCTCCCTTTTTTCGTAGCTGAAATTAAATCCGCCCAACGCACGAATTGAACAAATAAAGTGCATTAATGGTATATAATTGTTTGGTAAGCAATAAATTGACTATAAATTCTAAAACTAGTGAATATTTTCAGGAAAATATTCTTCTGAGTTGCCTGCTTAAAACTGAAAACAAACACAAAACTAGAAAGTTGAAATATTTAGATGCCACAATCAGTTCATTGATGTTTAATCAGTATACAATTTGTCTACAAAATATGTATTCCATGTTTGGTTTTCAAACATTGGCTTAAGCCAAACTTTATTATCACTGTGAAGTAACTAAAAACTTATTTTCTGTAATAGAGAACTGGAACACATAACATGAAAGGATTTTCCTCTTTTCCTCATAACCACGCCAAGAAGTTTTACAGATCCATCCTACAATGTTACTGCGGATATAACATTGCGTGATTCGAGAAAAGATTTTAATGGTGTAATAAAATGGGGTGTTGATGAAAACGGGCCGAAGTATCTAATAAAATGCTGTAGGCCTGAATCGCGGAGTATCGTTTAATTGGATAAAAAAGTTCTGTCTTATTGCAAGAATGTCGATGAGTTTTCGACTGAAATAAAATCCACTGTTTACGTGGCGATATTATTGTTAATATTTCTTGTAGCTGATTGTGGTTAAATCAAGTTTAGTTTCAAATGCAAAGATTTACTTCTGTTAGTGTATTATTTGCAGATAATGATGACAAACGAGCACCATAAGGTTTATATATATGTATAACACGATGTATATTTGGTGGGCGTCTGATATGGAAAATTAGTCCTATTCTTCTACTGCAATTTTGGTTACATGCAAGCGATAATTTGAGGTCCATTCAAAAATCTAATGTATATGCAATCACGTCATTGTACAAAAACTCATTATTAAAAAACTCGATTAATATATATTTTTGCAACGAAAACCGCCATGTTCCCATGATTTTATTTTGAACGTATATTTTTAGAATGTGAGTGATGAAAAATGTGCACCGTAAAACAATTAATCATGACACAATCCGGTTTTGAAAGTTCTGGGTTCAGCGAGGCTGAATAGTATTCCAACATATGTAGACTATTTTCATCAATATTTCAAAACAACTGCAACGCAAAAAAAACCTATGTTTTATGCAAAACTGACATAATTCGACAAAGAACATTTTCGCGTGGATGAAACGATTGAATTTGTTTAAAGTTGAATATGAACAAATGAATGTTCTACCCTCGCATACATATAACTATCAGAGCCCGTCGTTAAAAATAGATTATATGGTTGTTTGGTTAATTCTCAACAGCTAAAAACCGGCATAGATTCACTGATAGTCAAAGACCGATAATTTCCAATTCCTCCACATGAATAAGTATCTATTATCCATTAATCAATATATTGAAGGCGGCAAGCCGGGGCCTGTACTTTGTGTATGTTGAAGCTCAACAGAAGACGTATTACTGGTCCCCAGTTCAAAATAGTTGACATCTCTGTAAAGCATTTATATTTTTGATTTCAGATCAGTTTGATTGTGAATATTTCAAAACTACTTATTTCTGAATAGTCCTGATCAAATTAATTGCAACATCATTGAATCCTAATGTGCCCTCAACTCATACTTTGAGCTGAGATCGCAAAGTACATCAAACAAGGCAGTCGACATTAATTGAAATTGAAATATTCATAGGTTTAAATCGACAGTCATAAGTAACTGATTCAGAGTAAAGAGCTCTTCTATTCGCTTTCAGAAAAGTTTCGAACGTACTCCATATCTGACATATTTCTATTAAGTTGGTAAAGTAAAGAGAAACAGAGAATGATTAAACAGTTCATACGATGAGAAATTTAAATGTAATTGAAATTCAATATGGAGACGCAATATTAGCATGGAGTGACTTGGGCGGATTTCGAGAGAATACTAAACAGTCTTGCAAACTAAATGGCATGCACATCGAACTAAATTATAGAGAAACTTTTTCAAGCACTGTTGTTAACAAAGCGCTTAACTGGGACTGTGCTTAACTTGTCGAATTAATAATCACTCTTGAATTAATAATGTCTCAGGAAATTTATAACGGTTATTATTGCTCAGATGAAGTGTTCACTACTTTAAACCCATTCAATCAGAAGAATTGTTTTTGAAAGGTTCTTTGAGGGGAAGATGGGATGCAATGAGCATGAAAATGTCAGTGAGATTTGCCGAAATTTTCTAAATTCAATAAATTTTTGAATTACAATTATGACTGATTTCATCAATGTTTCAACATTGTATATATGTTTAAACACTGTAAAACCTGCACAAATAGTTGCAAGTCCCCTTAGAAAATTATCTGCAACTGAAGCTTTGACCACATTTTAATAGGCACACACACGTTCCGTGCGCCGCTCCAACCAGCTAATAGAGATTTTCAGTGACAACTGTAACAAAGTTAACTGCTTTTTGTTAAGTTCTCTACGTCCTATAAACGTAGTTTGTATTTCATTAAGTACTTATTATGTTATCAGCTCATTTAAAGTTCCGCTTTAAACTGTGTTTAAGCAGCATTGTCCTGTTGATCCAGACCATGAGCTTGAAAAATTCGGGGCAGATCAGTTGCAAATATTTCCATTCTACACTATTCTCGTGCTAAATTCTCGGAAATTTGGCTCAACGCTTTTGATGCTGACGATAAAATCTCCTAATCAGGAACTAAAAGATCGATGATTTGTGGTACAGAAACTATCAATTTATGCACATTAGTCCTTATATAGTGAGGTGATGCTTAGTCAAATTCAGCCCCCTTTAACATTAATCATAACTATTCTAACAGTGTGTACATCAGCGTTGCTTTGGATAGGTTATAGGTAATAAGCCGACCTCCATTTTCTGTTTTATATGATAATGGATTCAACCGGTTGCATGAAACCGTCGGATTATACAAATCAGCAGTCGAACAAATTTCCATATAATCTAGTTTATGTCTAGTCAATTGGACAATAACGGATCATGAAACATTGAGTGGGCGTGACGCCTTTGATCCTGTTAAAAATATCGCGATATAAAAAAATGTGATAATGCTTTCCTTGCAAAATTTGGTTCGGTATTTAAAATTTGATAATTGTGAATGTCCGAAAATATCGCAAGAGATGTGTCCATCTACGGCCACTAACGACACAGTTACACAGTTACTTATTATTACTGGCAACATCTGGCATTTACTTACCTATTACTGTTAAATTCACTTTACTGTTCCTTGTTTGGCCCATTTTAAAATCGACACGACATCGATAAACCGCTTGATCTGATTCGCGAATATGATCGATGCCCAATTCTGCAGGTTGCCTGTCGTCCAAGAAGTATGCTCGGTTCGAAAACACTTTTTCGTCCGACCACTTTTCGGCAATGGAAAAGTCCCGATCTCTTGCATCAGCACTGAAAGGAAAATATTAACATTATTAAAACCAGCATTTGATTAGCAAAATTAAAAACCATTCTCTTAGAAATCGTTTGATGCTGCAGACTTCAACTGAAAAAGCTTGTATTCCATATTAAGCAAATATCAACCTTCTGGCATGATATTCAAATTGAAGTGTAAGTAATAGAACTCAAACGTAAAACTGTCGATATCTATGATTATCATGATTTCGTTGTCAGAAATAATAGTATAAGTCGGTTGACTTATACTGAGGTGTATATGATTATATCAACGTTTCACAAGTGATTGTTTGAATTTGAAGCTTGATGCAAATGGATTTTATTATTTCATTTTCATTTCGATCATTTTTGGTTCAAAATATCAAGAGCTTTAGTTAATTAACATTTAAAATGATTGCAGGAACGATCAATAAACCATTTTAGCAAATGCAAACTATGCAAATTAGAAAAATGCAATCTCGTTAATAGCGAGCTCGTTTCTGCTTTCATATTACCTACGTCATTATAGGCTTTATAGGTGTGGAATTTTAAATTAAAAACGTGGAAAAACTCACAATTATAACATTAGTAGAGCATTTAAAGCAGCAGTTTGACTATTTTGACAAAGTTGAATGAATGTGACAATGTGCAGCTTTCCTTCTGTATGTGACGAAAAACAAGAAAGACACTCGATGCCCGCGTCTCATCGTCAATAGTGTGATTTCTAATGCAAGAGTGCATTTTAGCAGCAATTGGTTTGTTCCAGAGGTGGAACGGTAGACAATCCATCAGGCATCGAGTCATTATTCTCATTTGCAGTGCCATAATTTCTCATTTCACGTAAAATAAAGTCGAAAGGAAATCTGCGGAAGGCGATGAAAAGATTCGTGTTAGTGAAAGTAGCATTATTTTCCAGAAATTACATTTAAACTTTTCACATTTTCAAAAGTGACTGATTATCAACTAATTTAATTTTATTTACCTTCCAGACACTTTTACTAACATATCAATGAAAAATTAATTAAAAATAATACAGTTTTTGTTATTCAAGCTGCTAAATTAGTTCGAGCTCCAGCACCCAGCGTGTCAAAATAACGTTCATATTTGCTGATGCATTGAACAGAACATTATTTATTACACTCACCAAATTAGTTTTGATCAGATTAATTAATGTTTTTGAAATAGCAACCCAGATTACATTCCCATTTTAAATTGTTTATAATCGCTTAGTCGATATATTAATTATTTACAATTTCATCAATACACCTATTGTTAAACGATTTTAAATTTAATGAGTTCAGCAAAACCCCCATCTTTTTTCAGTCAAAGTGGATAATAGCTCTTTTTTTTTAGTTTAGTGAAATGAGTAGAAAGTACAACCAAACAAGCTTTTAGAGTAAGTTGAAGCGGTCTACGAAAATTAAATTTATTTCTTCTCATTAATCATCATTGATTTCATCGCCATAATGAACCAAAAATAAATTTTAAATACCCAACTTAATCCTTGTGGGTAAATTGATTCTTTTTGAAATGTAACTGAAGGTAATTTTACGAGGCACGATCGCAAACCACCTATCTTTACGGCTCAAATACTACGCTGTTTTGCTGGGTAATTTAAAACATTGCATTTTCCATGTGAAATTAAGAGCTCTTGCACAAAGTAACAAACGTATCATTGCAGCATTTTGTAGGAATATTTTACAGTTTTCCATCAGCATCTATCTATTTCTATAATATTCAAGAAGTTAGCATTTTGCGGACAAAGGCCATAAAATTATTTAACATTTCCTTTACAAGCGGCAGGGAAATTCCCTAAGAACATCAGGAAACTCTCTGATTATATAAACGGGAGCTAGTGATGTTCAGAACTTATCAATAGTCTGGCCGGTATAATTGATACGTAGCAATTTACTGGGGAAAATTAATTTCGTATTTCAGAAAAGGTTTCTAAACCTTTTCCGAATGTTTCTATATGCAGTGGTCCAACAACAAAAATAAATAAGTGTGTGGCTTACTAAAACAGATAGAACCCCACGTTCAATTTCTAATATGGTTTGGTATGAAACCAAAAAATTAGTTCCCAGTTAAGAAAACTACCATCGTTAAGATTGTAACCGAAGGAAAACAATATCACATTGAGCAGGCCAAGTTATGAAAATACATTTTCCTTCTATGCAGGAAAATGTCGAGATGTCTTCAACTGCACAGGTACAAACGTGATTCACCTGAAAATTAATTTAAACCTGCTGCGACCAATTGATTTTCGTTAGTTTCGCATAAATCTGAATTGTAGCCTGCATGTGCATCGTTAACAGGCTACAAAACAGCGTTTAAATTTTGATATCAGCAACCGATATCACATAACTCATTACAAGCGCTGGCAATCTTGTTTACAAGTTTAATTTGCTGTGCTTAGTTTTACGTAGCATCAACATATTTTATATTAACTCGCAAATTAGCGCGGAACTATCAGATAAACTAATATTGTTTGTTGTCTGTGTTATAGGAAGTTTGATGCGATGTATACTCAGTATTTGCGCAATCAAATGTTGGTCAATAGTTGTTATAATCGATGTGTCGACATAATTTATATCTTTTCGTAAATAATTGCAATGCAAATTAATTGTTTTTTTTTCATCCATCTGTTTCACAGACTATTTTCCTTCATACTATAGTATTTATTAAGTATTAAGATTATTTCAAAGAATTTCAGGATCTCTTGACACATTTTATCAGGTCTATTATGTTTACTATTATCGTTTAGTCAGGATGTAAAACGCAAAAATTGACGCTCTAATTAATAGATCCATGTGCTTGATAGTGAAGCCTCATGGAAATATTTACTAATCAATTCTTATTCTCTCTTGTTGCCATGTTTTTCCAGTTGTGTAATATATTTAGTACCTATCCATCTAGCATTATGTGTTTAATTCAGGATTGGCCAATGAAGACTTGTTAGCTGTTTTATTGGATATTTGTCGAAGCACATAATCAAACGTTTTCAGACGCAAGATCTAAGCGAATAAACTCTAGTCTCTACTTATACGTCCATAAAAATGGTTTTATTTACGAGTGCCTAGTACTTAGTTAACTTCTGGACATTAGATTCTCATTTCATTGTTCTTTGTCGATCCCGAATATTGGCTATTTATGACAAAATTAATCGAATATTAAAAGGAAATGATTTCAACACAATATAATATGAGAATTTTATGGTCAATGATCTATAGTCTTAAATCTTCAAATTGGTCTATTAATTTGCAGTTTTGTTAAATTACTGCCATTACATGTACGATGCATATTTAAATGATCTGAAAAGAAAACAGTGGAATACTTGCATGCTCGATAAATATCCTTAATTAAGTCAATACGAGAGTAAAAGCGAATAAAATTAGCGGAACTCGGATTATGCTGCCGTGTGTTCAGGAAAAGCAGCTGCCTATCTAGCAGATAAAAGCCAAGCCTTAACATTGAGCAAGTGGAAGATAAACTTTCCAAATTAATTTAGCTGTACGTGAAAGTGGAGGTAAATGCGTAGGGATTTAAACTTAATGAATAATAAATTTTTATTGGAATGGAGCGTTTCAATTTAAGTTTGCAAATTGACCGTTATTTGAAGTAGCGTAGATTTTTTTCTCAGATGTCGTAATTGCTTCAAATGCTTTTCATATAAAACAGTAGCACTTAAAGTAGATTATTTGTGCGGTTTGGTTTAAGTCTCCGTTGTCGATCTTTTTTGACACGGAGAATTTTGGTTGGTGTTTCGTGTTTTACCGTATCGAAGGCTTTTTCGAAGTCAACGTAGCAGCGTTGATTGAAAGAGTATGTATATACTCTTCRATCAACGGTAACAGGCATAAACATCCATATTCTCTRTGCTTACACATTTAGTGCAAACAACGCTTCTCTCGTGCCTAGTCCGTTTCTGAACCCAAATTGAGCATCATCTGGTTGTTCCTGTGGAACTTCCTGTTGACTATCATCTAATACTGGGATTTGATATGCTGATTTGCTGTTTTAGAGCTGTTTTTATCTCTGCTTTAACATTTTTAGAACCTTTTTATTTTCTACTACAATTTCCACTTGTCCTGTTCCACTTCTAAGCAACTCGGTGCTATATTCTACCCGTTTGCTTGGTTTTTGATTCGTATCTAGAATTTGCCTTCCGTTTACATCYTTSAGTATTCCTGRGTTTTCGTTTCTATTAACGTAAATCATCCCTGTTATCTCTTTGTGACTGTTAAAACAGGAATTATTTCTCTGGTACTCGTCTATCTCTGCGTACTGTTCCTTTATCCATTTTTCTTGCTTGCTTAATTTCATGCTTTATTTGATTGTCAATCTTTCTGTATTTCTTATGACCTTTGTTTTTAATCTGTCGACTTTCATCCAGTAACTCAAGGATCTCTTATGTAATCCATTGCTTCTTTTTGTGTGTTTCTGGTGTTAATTCTCTTTTCACTTCTAGTTATTTCTGTTCTCATTAGAAGTCTTTTGTTTTCTAACATGTCGCCTTATTATAAAACACACACACAGTTGTGAGGCAAACATACATGATAAAGAATAATTATATGTCTCGAATGATGTGCTCTGCTCCAACATTTTGAGATAATAAAAATCCCTCATTCGGAATCGAAATATTGGAATGAATGCGATTCATCAAAAAAATTAATCCATCATTAATTCAGGGCAAATGACTTTAACATGAAACAGCCATTCGATCAGCCATCGATTCCATTACGATTTATATGAACTAGAAAGTCGGTGCTGGCACATTTCAATAGCTAATCATATACTAATTGGACATTTGTTTTAGAATTAATTATCATTATTATTTCAAATCAACTAACAATTAATTATTGCGCTCCAGAAAATAATGAACATTGCATCGACAGATGCACATCGCGAACAACAACTAATTGTACAATTCAGTACTAAAATTGAATGGATACTGCCTTTTAACCGGTATTGATTGGCTGTTGGGTTATTGGCGGTCTTTGAGAGGCAATTAATTTGTC